ACCATTATATGTGTAAAGATGAAAATTTCACAAAATGTGTAACTAATAATCATAATTCATTTCCCAAAATTTCAGCTCGATCCGTCTGGCGGAAAAAAAGTCGATTTTACAATCTCTCTCATAATGATTTGATTTGCGCTTTTCCGTCCTCGGTTTGTAAAGCCCATGCAGCTGCTAATCGGCAATAAATTCAAATCTTGTTCAAATGTTCGGTGCCAGATGTCGATCTGCCGCGGTGCACGTAGACAATGATGGTAGAATGCCTTGGAAGTTGGTGGAAGATTGGCAGCAATGTGTTTACGACTACTTTTGAAAATACTGACCGCCATCGTTCCTCGAAGTTCGTCAAGCGACACTGGGCTTTTCGATGACGTTTTAGAGGAATAACAAGCAAGAAGTAGCCGTTCGGCAGCCGCAATTGCTTCATCAGCTAACGGAGACGTCAGAAACTTGTTGATTTGAGAGAAACGTTGACAATCAGCAAAAAATGTTCGAAAGAAATTGAGTTTAGTGATGTTCTTGATGAAAGAGGTAGTGTCACAACCAGATAGACCGTGAATAATGAGCAACACTATTGGATCGATGCTGAATTTTTGTTTGAATTCTCGTGCGATTCGATAAGTATCAATGTGTCCATTTTTGCTGTAGTGTTAAACGACTTGATGACGAGACTGTTAAGATACGTCGATAGAACATGGGCAACGGGGAGTATAATCACGTCAGTGTCAGAAGCTTGAAGAACGACCGTTTTGTAGTCGCTGTAACGAAGAACTTGAGCGTGTAACAGCATTCGTGTGTCAGCCTCGATATGATCGGATTGCAATAGATAATCGAAAGCCGGTGGAGAATTTGTTTGTAATTCGGTTGCCTTCTCGTCTGGTCCTGCTACTACCAAAATTTTCCCAGCAGGTAGCAATTTTACAACTGCAGGCTCAGACCAGCATTTGCGAACGCATGCAGCTAATATGGGTCGATTTTTGTGAACAAATATTGCGACGTATCGAGAATATCATCGAGTTTCAAATCGTATCCTGGTGTCTCTGTGTCATTGTCATTACGTTTGATGAATGCTTTAACTGTGTAACTTTCGCCAGAATCAAAAACAACTAGAAGGATCAAAAACACATTTATTCCCCAGGAAAGAATTCCTACAAAATGTCTTTCATAAATGACTTACCGTCGATTCTATCAAATTGGTTGAAATCATGCTTGATTACTGTGTTTAACAGTTGTTCAGCATGTTGACGAACGGTTGTGTTCCTCGAGAAAGGTCTAATCTCGAGTAAACTGCCTTCATCAATAATTAAGGCACATTTGCCAGTAAGACGGGGACATGAAGACGAGAACGAAGACGGGAACTGTTTTTTGAGGAATTCGATTGCTGCCGATTTTTTCTGTTGATTCAGAAGTTGGCTGTTATGGATGTCGCATAGGGCAAGGGGAGCTTGGGAGAACTCGTGAGCGAAAAATGATGATAGTAGAAGATGTCGTTGTTCAGCAATAACAATAATACGGCGAATTTCGTCGTCAATGTGCTGGAGATTTCTACTGAGATCTTTGGAACTATTGGCAGCGGTGCGTTGTTTCTTCACAGATGACGAATCACCGGGCACATAAGAAGTGGCATCGGATAATTCTAAAACAGATAAAAGTAACAAGTCTGTCACAAAGACAGAAAAATGCGACTTACTGAGATGGAGCATGGCCTTCAACGGTTCCTCCAATCCAACTGTCTTTGTGATCAATCTGTGTTCGATGTACAGCGATAATGCTTCTTGTCCGTTGTTGATTGATGAACAGATATTGTTCACTATGTCCTCCTGGACAATTTTGCCCCACATCAATTTTCGCTCAATCACACTTAAGTTTTTCTATGAAACGCGATTTTTGTATCATTTTTGATTTAGGTCAAACTTAAGTCAATTTTATACTTAACTCTGACTTAAGTCATTTTTACACTGAACTTTTTTTATAAAAGTGGCTCCTGGCCCCTGTTCCTCCTTTTTATCTTGGTGCTGGCCGCCATTACTGACGAGCCAGGCTCATTAAATATGACATGTTTAAAAATCAACAGATGTCGTTAGCGAAACTTTTTTATTCCTTCTTGTCAGAGACATTCAACACTTCGATTCTTAATCTTTTTAGAAGGAAAGCATATGGTGAAGAGATGAGCTCCTGAAATCCAGTACCACTCTAAAGTGCATCACTGGATTCGTAATCTGCTATAGAAGGCATGAGTCATTGACTGACT